GGGCAGAGCTGTCGGGGCTGCTGCAGCGCGAGGGAAGGAGCCGCACGCCACGAGCGCATCGCCAGAGGGAACACTCTGCCGTAACCAAGGGCTTAAAGACCGAAGAGAAAAATTCCAGCCAGCACATTTTACAAGTGAAATGCCTCAGCAGGCAGGAGTTCTGACTCGGAATATCCCCGGCCTCCCGCTCCGCAGGCCGAGGAAAGAGGAGCTTTCCTCCTGAAGGAGAGCCAAGGAAGGAGCCTGGAGGGCTGAGGCTGCTGAGCAGGCTGCAGCCACGGACTGCGCTACCGATCCTCAGGGCCTCCACGCTCGGCTGCTGCTCAATAAAGTGGCACAGCCCCAATTATCGGGCCGCAATCCCCAAGTTACTGAAACGCAAAGTTACCACGAGAAAACCCGCTGCAACGAGATCCTGGCACGCTGCGAAATCAACCTCCATTAACTCTCACTTTCCCACCGCCCTCTGGGGTTGCTGCCAACGAAAGCTTGAAAAATTGTCTGTGCAAGCAGGTACTCGGGCGGAAACCGTTACAGCACATTTCCTACTTACTAGTTCAGCAGCAGCTTTGTGAGCTCCATGTAGTAGGGACTGGGCATCGGCGTGAAGGTGTCCTCCTTACGTTCCTGGTCCCGGATTTCCTCCAGTTTTTCTAAAACACAACCAGGAGCGGTCAGGCATTGCCAGACCTTCATCTCTCCAGGCACATCTTTGTCCCCCTCCCCGGAAATCCACACGCTCTTCACCGGCGGGGGGCGAGCCGGAATCCAGGGGCGGACAGAGGACGGTTTCCGCAGCGAAGCGCACACGGACGCTGACCGGGACACCGAAGCCGCGCTCCGCACGCCACGCCGGGAGCTGGTCCCTCCGCCCCCGCAGCACTCGCGCTAACCGGTGTTTGTGCCCTCGAGCGAACGCAGCAGGAAGGCTCGGTACAGGGCTCCCCCCTACTGCACCTCCGTCAGCCTTCACTGCTTGCCCTTCTCCATTTCCCCTGAGATGACAAAAGGGAGGGAGCCGTGATTCGCACTCATTCCAGAGCAAGAGGACCTCCCATTTCCGACACCCTCGAGGAAAACGACTTCATGGAGAGAAAGAACCGGCAATTCAAACAGACCTGTGCTCTCCGAGGTGCCGCTGCTCACAGAGCGTCACCCAAGGTCCCCAAAGCTCCTTCTGAGGAAGCCTTGCCAGAAGCAGCAGTGACCGCTGCTGAAGACGAGTGTCAGGGCCGGGGATCCAACCCAACCCTTGTTCTTCCTCCTCACTGGAGGAGAACACCTGGCTTCACTGGGAAGATTACATCTCCTGTCAATACAAAGAACTCCAGCGGTGGAACATCAGACCCTTCTCTCAGAGCTACTCTGTGTTTGCTGAACTGAGCTTCCCACTAATGGTGAAAATCAGAGATTGTTTTTTTTTTATTTACGTCATGTTTCCCAGGGCTGAAGCCGTCGTCCTTACCAACGTCCATCCACTCCGGAGGAACCAGCCGACACTTCTGCCTCTGCTTCAGACTGACAGCCAGCCAGACAGGCACTTCCACCGGCAAGCCGGGATTGAAAGGACCCAGATCTCCCTGGAAGACAAACCGAAGCCCAGAGTAAGGCGGCAGCGAGCACTCGGGCACCGCCGCACTCGTCTGCTCCTCGGCTGTGTCAGGAGAGCTCGGGCTTCCAGGGGACTTTGGACAGCCAGAGTCAAACTGCACCTGAATTTCCTCCTCTCAGCCCCCTCCCCAACCCCACCACAGCCCT